TGTTTTAACGTCCGCTTCCACAGAAGTGATATCGCAGACAAGCACACATCCCAGGTGATGTATCTTCTTTAAGTCACAAATGAATTAAGTTCCACCTGTAGAGACTTCTTACTGGTGCCAAAATGTCGCTATCTCTAAGTCTCTATAGACAAGCTGACGCCCATTTTCAAACAGGTCACAAGGGCTAACCATGTAACACCATCGCACGCCAGATGCCGCCCATCGCAAGAATATTTTCTTTCTCCTAGTAGCACAACCATTGTTTCTCATACCCTTTCAGTGCAATGAACATCAGATAATCATTTCGCTAACCCCACTACATTTCTACTACATTCCGTAATTTAACTGATTTATACTATATTCAATATAACGTTTTGATTAATTAAATGAGAGTAAACACTTTTACCTTGTAATTTTATACCAGTTTGCGATTTATGATTACAATCTTATACAAAGTATTTATATTTTATTGTAAATAATTTCCTCGGGAGATGAATTTATATAAGCCCTGGCTTGTTTTCAGATCCCACAATCATATAATGTATGTGTATTCAAAAACATGGTTTCATAAAGTATCCAGACAGGTGGCCACAGGTGGGAATTAATGAAACAATAGCATTCGACCAATCAAATAATTAATCTTTACTGTCACAGTGGACATTTATGACTTTGTATTGTACATGTATTTTCAAAATAACCATCGGATGACTGAAAAGTGAATCCCTCACAATGGGTTGTATATACACAGACCCTTTCTGTAATTAATGTGTATGGGGCGGGCGTTAAATAAAGCGATCTCAATCACTTAAATATATCCGATTCGTCGGTTCGCGAGAAGTGCAACAAAATTATCATGGCAGAACTTGTAATGTTTTTAGCCTCATGCAGGTGGGTCACAGAATTGCCCCGTGATATGAGATCAAAGAATACATTTGCACGTAGCCGATTATTCAAGATGTGTTGTATTCAATTGTTAAGACTACGTGGCGCCTTAAATAAACCAACATTACCAACTTTTAACAGGTTCCATTGATTTATCATTTATTTTATGACAGGTTAGACCACAATGTGTTACGATTCGCATTTTGGTATTCTAAGCTGATTCTTATACGGAATTCTAGGTGTAATGATATAAATTCGGATTTGTGTGGACAAGTTAACACAAGTATACATGTATGTGACCGTAAGCTTATTCTCTGTCTTTTTCATTTTAATTTTAATATTTTATCAAGAAAAACATGCATGTAACAACTTTTGGTCAGGTATCACAGCTTTATAACCATTTAATGATTTATGTCTGTATTAATTTTAAACTAATTTGAGAAAACCATTGGTTGTGAAAGAATTATCATACTTTTCTCAGGAACTGATTTTTTTATCATTGACTATAATGTTTTTATTACATCATATATACAAGAATTTCCATAATTGTTACCGGTATATAAAGTTTCAAACATCTCACTCAGTTAATCATTTTTTTTATTAATCCACTAGCAGGATACCCGGCTTCGCTCGGGGGTCATAACTCCGAAACCGGAAGTGATAGACTAACGCCACCTGGCCTATGTTACTCCCCGGTCCGAGTTACCCCTATACCCCAAATTTCAGGCTCGGGGCAGACCTAGTGTAGCCGCCAACCCCGAACAGACCGGCTTCGCTCGGGTCATAACTCCGAAACCGGAAGTGGTAGACTAACGCCACCTGGCCTATGTTACTCCCGGGCCGAGCTACCCCTATACCCCAAATTTCAGACTCGGGGCAGACCTAGTGTAGCCGCCAACCCCGAACAGACAGACAGATACCCGGCTTCGCTCGGGGGTCATAACTCCGGAAGTGGTAGACTAATGCCACCTGGCCTATGTTACTCCCCGGTCCGAGCTACCCCTATACCCGTAATTTCAGACTCGGCAGACCTAGTGTAGCCACCAACCCCGAACAGACCAGCTTCGCTCGGGGGTCATAACTCCGGAAGTGGAAGACTAACGCCACCTGGCCTATGTTACTCCCCGGTCCGAGCTACCCCTATACCCCAAATTTCAGACTCGGGCAGACCTAGTGTAGCCGCCAACCCCAAACAGACCGGCTTCGCTTGGGGGTCATAACTCCGAAACCGGACGTGGTAGACTAACGCCACCTGGCCTATGTTACTCCCCGGTCTGAGCTACCCCTATACCCCAAATTTCACACTCGGGGCAGACCTAGTGTAGCCGCCAACCCCGAACAGACAGTAAGACAAACGACAGTCACAAATATAGATAGCAATTAATTAAGTTGGAAAACGAGGAGGGGTACGGCAACACTCCCTTAAATAAGTAGAAAAGCTGGACAGACTGGTACATCTGCGTAGGATCTGGATCAAAAAATGATGCCGGCGGGGCGGAGTAGTAGAATAAATAAAATTAAAGAATCCCCGCCAAACAGAACCAGCAACAGACTTGTAGATTTAAAAGATCTTTATATCAATCCAACGTTTCGGGTGCAATACCCTTTGAAATTAAACTATATTCATAGTTTTTAGCGCTAAAAAACCCTTATTAAACGATACAAGTTTAACAGTGTAATGTATAGATTGTTCTTCAGTATAATACTATGATGTGAATATGCAGCATGTGTTGTGAATGTTTCGTTACAAAAAGAGTGCATTTACTACGATTTTCAGGCCACGAAATTTCAAATTTTGGCGTAACCAGAAAAATGGTTGCGGGTTTATGCTCTGTGTAACCATTTTCTTTGGTTACGCCAGATGACCATTGCGTAACCAATTGGTTACATAAAATGGTTGCGCTGTTTTCATGTTTATCCAGATTTAAATGGTGCTATTATTCATTTCCACTTGCAGTGAATGTATTTTTTAAAGAAATAACTTGACTATCTTTATTCTTTTATATTTAATATTATATTAGGTTAAGTGTTAATGACTTTAATCCCACGGTGTCCCCATTTAAACAATAAAACATTAGAAAAAAAAATGTTCCACTTAACTAAATCCCTACATTTTAATAATGAGGGGAATCGGTTCCAAAAATTACATACATACGGGTCATTGGTACTACAGCATGGCTATAGTGAAAACTGAAAGGAACACGTGTAGTAAATTCTTTGGAATTATAGCCGACATGTTAAATAGTCAAACTCATTTCTCATTTTGTGTTTGAAAATCCAAAGGTACGCTTTCAAAATTTATGGTATATAACTAATCATTTAAAGAATTAGGAGTGAGGGGCATTTGTAAATCAACTTGCTTGCAACTGGTCAATAGCCTATACCTAGTGTCAAAATACGTGATCTGTCAAAGTACCGTCAAAGTACCGGTAAGATGGAGAAATGAAATGCCAAGAATGAATGAATGGAGTTTGTGCTATAATACAAATAATTTAGACCCGTGTCACAAAGTCATCCTGTATAAAAATTGATCAAATGTGAATAAATCTGTTAATGAAATTTGGTAAGGTAACCGATATTTCAATTTGCGTAACCAGGAAATCGGTCGCATGTTTTTGAGCTAGCGCGACCGCACGTAACCGATTGGTATCAATCGCGTGAAATTTCATGGCCTGATTTTCGTCTTCAGCACCCTTGAAATCCTAAATAAAAAAATATTAAACAAAAAAATAGCAAATAAATGGCGGTAATCGTCGGATCAAATTTGTTCTACAATTTTCATCTTCAGCACCCCTGAAAACCCCTGGAAAGATATACTTAAAGATAAAACAGCAAATAAATGGCCTGGTTGCTATGGGATTTTATTTTGGAACATCAAATCTTTGACTTGCTTTTTCTCAAAACTTACTTTCGTGAGTTGCGTAGGTTCAAATGGACACAGCTCACTCAATTTTTGCATAATTCAAACAAACTATACATCAAATTGAAGGTAATGAGTTGGAGAATGTGCAAAAACAATAACTCAATCTTCAAAATTTCCTCATTGCGACTCATTATGCTATGACGGGTCACATTTTAATATCCAATTAGCTTTAAGTTTATACACAGTGTTTAAGGTCGTGAGACAAAGAAGCCCAGTGATTTTCGATGATTTCCGATAATAACTACCAGAGTTATAGCCCTTGATCAACTTGAAAAATCTTGTGGATGCTCAAGAGACCAAAGTTATCATCCGATTGACTTCAGAATGATACACAGAGTTTAAGGTCTTGAGATGAACAAGTATATTGATTTTCAATATATTTTGATGACTTGAGCAGCTAAATTTATGATCTTAAATATTTCGTATACTAAACGTTAGCACGGGGCAGAACTAAAAGCCAAACAAATTCTAATGATTTTCTGATAATTACTTAATGAGTTGTTACTCTTAATCAGATTTTAGTGTATTATAAATGTTTCATTACCGACAATAGAAAAATATGCGACAACTCTTGTTGACTGCTCGGACGACTTAGCTGCTGTGGGCATATGTCTTGTTGCCTGGCAACCCATCTTTGAATTTCAATTTTGTTTACTTTGGGTTAAACTTTGAAATTTGTTTGACTATCTGTTGACCCTCAGGTCTACCAACATTTAATATGATATAAAACACAAATTTATATGGAAAACCCAGTGTAAATTTGTGTTTTATATCATATGTTCAGTTACTAAATGCTGTATAAGGATAACATTTAATATCAAAAAGTTTGGTCTTGAAGTATAACTTCCGGTTTTATTAAGCGTTCAAAATAACAGATTTTTCCACTTAATAGGTATTGGATGGTACTATACTGAAATGTTATGGTGTAACTTGATTGTTGACGTGACAAGGCGTTATAGTTTATCTTTGGATGTTTTAATTTGTGATACATTGCTTAAAGTTTTGCAAGTTAGCCTGAATGTTTAAAAAATATCAACTCAATTTTTCTTGATCAACTTTTCATAAACTTGTAACATTGATATGATATAGAAATTTAATAATTAACTTGTTTCTAATTATGTCCATTTCCTCGTTTTTATGCGAGTTACACAATCAAGACTCAAAGTGACACAATTGGATTTATTTTCTCTTTCAGATTAGTTAATTATTTCTTATCCCAGTTAACCCAAATGGATACTGGAATTCATATGCCAGGGTAGGTTGTTTTATACATTTATGGATTGCACATACTGATAATTATTTTGTCTGTACTTCTAATGTATGCCCACACTAAAATTTGACTTAGTTTGATGAGGAGAATTATCTGCTTAAGCTATGTAGCGATAAGCGATTAGATTGGTCAAGACTTTGAAACAGACTAACTCTACTTTTAATTGAGGTAGAATGTTCAAACTTGGTGTAGATTTTCATTAGATGAATATCTTTACTGAATTTTATGGTTAACATTTTCCAGTATGGTTAAACAGAGATGAACAATTTGTTTCGTCTATGCTTTGGGGTAGTGATGGTCCGATATGGTTACCGGTACTATAGGTTTTACCGATATCAGATATTGACAGCGAAATATATCGTCCGATACAGATACAATTATCGATATAAAACTATACACTTTAAAATGTCTCGAATGCCATGATAATCGATGTAGTTACATGCCATTGTTAGTCGGGAAAACATCTGGTACTATTTTACCTTGGGAATCAAACAGGAACGTGATGTTTTTTATATGCCCGCATTTTCTCGCAAATAGTGTAAACGTATGTCATATCAAGGTTGTGGACCCTCTAGAGGTCACAATTTTTGTATGCTTTTGATAAAACTTACAATATGTATGTTTATTGAGTTCAAATTTTGACCCTTTAGAAGTCACAATTTTTATTTGATTTTGATGAAACTTGTAATGTGTGTCTATAAGTATAACCCAAAGATCTCGGTTCCTCTCGATATTCTCTCATATCGTATAGTAACTTGTACGAAAAATCACAATTTTTTTAGCTTATGAAAATCGAACCGAAACTTCTTGACAGAATGGCTGCTACTCATATGCAAATAGTGTAAAAGTATGTAATACCAAGGTTGTGGACCCTCTAAAAGTCACAGTTTTTATACGCCCACATGGAAATGTGGTCGTATATTGCCTTCACCCCATCCGTCCGTCCATCGTCCAAAATTTCTTGTGAACACTCTACAGACTACATTTATCATTGATTGTCTTGAAATTAATATATGTTGTTTGCATTAGTGACATGAAGAAGCCTATTTAATTTCTATAACTTCTGTTAATTTCTTCTGGAGTTATGGCCCTTGTTTCACTTTGTTACACCTTGTGAATGCTCCAATGACAAAAGTTTTCAACCGATCTGTATGAAATTTATATGCATCATTTAAATTAGTAAAACAAAGAAGCCTATTGAATTTCAGCAATTTCGGTTAATTACATCTAGAGTTATGGCCCTTGTTTCACTTTGTTGAATGTTGTGAACGCTCTAATGACAACTGTTATCATCCGATCTGTTTGGAATTGATATGCATCATTTAAATTAGTGAAACGAAGAAGCCTATTGAATTTCAGTAATTTCCCTTAATTACGCCGTGCATTATGGCCCTTGTTTCACTTTGTTGTACCTTGTGAATGCTCTAACGACAAAAGTTATTATCCGATCTGTGTGAAATTTATATGCGTCATTTAAATTAGTAAAACAAAGAATCCTATTGAATTTCAGCAATTTCTGTTAATTACATCTAGAATTATGGCCCTTGTTTCACTTTGTTGAATCTTGTGAACGCTCTAATGACAACAGTTATCATCCGATCTGTTTGAAATTGATATGCATCATTTAAACTAGTGAAAAGAAGAAGCCTATTGATTTTCAGCAATTTCTGTGTATTATGCCGGGAGTTATGGCCCTTGTTTCACTTTGTTGTACCTTGTGAATGCTCTAGCGACAAAAGTTATTATCCGATCTGTATGAAATTTATATATATGCATTATTTAAATTAGTAAAACAAAGAAACCTATTGAATTTCAGCAATTTCCGTTAATTACAGCTACAGTTATGACCCTTGTTTCACTTTGTTGAATCTTGTGAACACTTTAATGACAACAGTTATCATCCGATCTGTTCGAAATTGATATGCATCATTTAAATTAGTGCAACGAAGAAGCCTTTTGAATTTCAGCAATTTCCGTTAATTACGCCATGAGTTATGGCCCTTGTTTCACTTTGTTGTACCTTGTCAATGCTCTAACAACAAAAGTTATTATCCGATCTGTATGAAATTTATATGTGTCGTTTAAATTAGAAAAACGAACAAGCCTATTGAGTTTCAGCAAATTTCCGTTGATTATATTTAGAGTTTTATGGCCCTTGTTTAGCTTTGTTGAATCTTGTGAATGCTTGAACGACAAAAGTTATCACTTAATCTGTATGAAATTCATATGCTTCATTTAAATTAGTGAAATGAAGAAGCCTATTGAATGTCAGCAATTTCCATCAATTACTTCCAGAGTTACGGCCTTTGTTTTAGTTTTTAGAACCTTGTGAACCCTTAAACGACGAAAATTATAATGTCATCTGTATGAAATTGTCTATTAATTTCCCCTAATTACCTACAAAAGAATAAATATGCGACAACCCTTGTCGACTGCACGGACGATTTAGCTGCTGTGGGCGTATGTTTTGTTGTCTGGCAACCTATCTTTATCCAATCTTGATGAAACTTAAAATATATGTTTATTTTCAAACAATCTTGGTTCCTTTCGATATTCATGATTGTAGAAAAAATTGCGCTTTTGTTTAGCTTGTTCTCTGTCCTTCTCTTGCAAAATATGGGCATATCTTGCCTGGCAAGCCCTGGTTTTATGAAAAAAAAATTGGATCACACCTGCTCCGCAGTCAAAATATATACACCATCTATTGTGAACTAAAATTATTTGCTGTAAGCTTATGAATAATTTTAAAGTCGAGATTATCAGTTATTAAAATGTTGACGATATAACTCCCGAACTTGGCCGCCACATGTATATCTACAATAGATATCAGAATGGTTCATGCAATAATGAGACGATAGTGATAGATCAAAGTGATAGCTTCCCACCTGCAACAGCGGCAACCGTGATATTCTCCCGCCATTCCCGCCTTCCATCCTTCATCTGAATCACGCGTATACCACAGTATCGTAGTGAGTTAAAATAAAGAAGAAAAATGCCGCAAGTAGTAAGATTTCGAACTATTTCACATAAGCGACAGTGATCAACGGAAGACCATTGTTTATTTCGTAGTTTATAAATTTTAATAAAAAATCAAAAGCCAAAATAGGTATTATTGTTCGAGTTTGTGATCTCTGATTTCTTGTATAAGTCCACTGCATTATGACGTACGATAATTTGGTAATTTGTTATGGAGATCAAATCTCATATTCTAATGATTGTGATTACCACAAAAATAACAACAAATAGGTACACCTTTTCAAAATTGTCCATATTTAATTCACGTACCAGCTTGAAGTTCATTACTGTCTTTATTTAATAATTCAATGAAACTTTCGTTGATCTAAAATATTAGCATTTTTCTACTATTTCCGGTATCAGAAAATGCCATGTAGCCAAAATAAGCTGATATGGCACCAAGGCATTTCTGCATAACCCAATTTGTAGTTTTTTGTCTACACGTAACTTGCAAAAGTTTTTATTCATTTATTGATGATAGACAAACGGCACAATGATCATGTGACTATAATTGAAATTGAGTTAAAATAATATTCCATACAAATATGCCATATAGCCTTCAATAATAATGACAATATTTTTAGAATTAAGCTTATGTCAGCATGTGTATCAAATAAAAAATGCTACTTAAAACTGTACATTTATTGACCTAATTCCATGTCATTGAAATTCAGCATTGGAGATTCTGTCAGTAAAACATACATGTATTATTAATGACTGTTTCTCGGTGTATTCTATGTTCTATGAGGGGATTATATTCAGTGAAGATTTAAATTTACCTAAGAACTGGTCAGTTAATCCATCATTACGTATGATCCAGTTATTATTTTGATATCTGCCTAGATTGACTTCTTTAGCCTTGTGGCTTATTTTCACAACAGCAGCTTACTCAATCTGTTAAGAATAATCAGCAGCCTTGTTTTGTTTTTTTTTACCGGATTATCTAAATTACCATTAAATGTGCTAATTACTCGGATTATTGACTACATAGCCGATTCTATGGTATGGCTGCTGTTGTAACAAGTTGGTTGACTTCTTCATTAACAAGTAATAATTAAACATACATTATGCAAGAGCTAAATCTGTCTATTGCAGGTCTTTCTTTAGGCCTGAAATGTTATATAAATTGTTAATTAGACATTAATTAACTTATCCAGACCATAATCAACTCTAGATGGCATCGCTAGCCTGCGATCTTAAGTGGATTGTGAGTCGATTTACTGCATAACTTTCCTTCTCGATTTAACGATTACATGGATAATCGAGACTATGCTGTTTATCGTACTGACTTTAGTAATGATGAACGAGACTAGGCAGAAATTTCATTCGCTTAGTTCTGGGTTCATAGCGGATCAATTTGAATGAAATTTTCAGCAAATGGCTTTACGTTATCTAGTTTTTATACGCCCACATTGAAATGTGGTTGTATATTGTTGTCGCCCCCATCCATCTGTTCGTCGGTCCAGCGTCCACAATTGCTTGATCACTTTGAAAAATCTTGTGGACGCTCTAGAGGCTAAAGTTAATATCCAATTGACTTTAAATTTATACACAGTATTTAAGGTCACGGGACGAAGAAGCCTATTGATTTTCAGCGATTTCTGATAATTACTGCCAGAGTTATGGCCCTTGATCACTTCAAAAAATCTTGTTGACACTCTAGAGGTCAAAGTTAATATCCGATTGACTTTAAATTTATACATAGTGTTTAAGGTCATGAGACGAATAAGCCTATTGATTTTCAACGATTTTTGATAATTACTGCCTGAGTTATGGCCCTTGATCACTTCAAAAAATCTTGTGGACGCTCTAGAGGTCAAAGTTAATATCCGATTGACTGTAAATTTATACACAGTGTTTAAGGTCATGAGACCAAGAAGCCTATTGATTTTCAGCGATTTTCAATAAATACTGCCAGAGTTATGGCCCTTGATCACTTTGAAAAATCTTGTGGACGCTCTAGAGGCTAA